CGAGTCCATCTCAAAAAAAAAAAAGAAAAAGAAACATATAGGTTTTTTGTTTTGTTTTTTTGAGACAGGGTCTTGCTCTCACCCAGGCTAGAATGTAGTGGTGTGATCACAGTTCACTACAGCCTCAGTCTCCCAGGCTCAACTGATCCTCCTGCCTCAGCCTTCCAAGTATTAACAGCTAGGATGCACCACCAGGCCCAGTTAATATTTTTTCTTTTAATTTTTAGTAGAGATAAGGTGTCACTATGTTGCTCAGGCTGGTCTCGAACTCCTGAGCTCAAGAGATCCTCCCACCTTTGGCCTCCCAAAGTGCTGGGACTATTGGTGTGAGCCACTGCACCTGGCCCAAAATATACATTAGTCACTGTTTATGTTATCAGTAAGGTTTCCAGTGAACAGTGAGCTTAGTTAAGTTTTGGGAGAGTAAAAAATTATATGTGGATTTTCAACTGTGTGTAGGGGATGGGTGGTATGGATTGGAGTGTCCATGCCCCACATTGTTCAAGGATCAATTATACTGAAGTTATAACAATTTTTTTCCATATTTGTAAAATGCCTATTTTCTACCAGAGTGTTTATGCTCACACATATTGCAAATATTTTCCCCAGATTTTCCTTGCCATTTTAAGTTTGTTAGGTTGTGTTAACTGAAATTTTACATTTATTTCTTCAATCACTTTTTTTTTTTTTTTTTTTTTGTGCGACCTGGTCTTACTCTGTGCCCAGGCTGGAGTGCAGTGGCACCGTCACCACTTACTGCAGCCTCAACCTCCAGAGCTCAAGCAATCCTTCCACCTCAGCCTTCCAAGAAGCTGGGGCTGCAAGTGCACACCTGAACACCTGGCCATTTTCGTACTTTTTGTAGAGAGAGAGATACACCATGTTGCCCAGACTGGTCTTGAGCTCCTAGGCTCAAGCAATCCACCCACCATCTTGGCTTCCCAAAGTGCTGGGATTATAGGCATGAGCCACTGTACCTGGCCTCAATTACTTTTATAGTTTCATTTTTATATTTAACCTTTAATCTATCAGAAGTTTTAATATAAAGTATGGATCTCTATATTTTTCTAAGCAGTCAGCTATCTAGCCTTGCTTAAGACTCACTTGTTTTATAGCCTATATTCCTATATGAGCATGCACCTGATTCTAGACTTTGTTTCATTGGTCTTGCTATTCTGGTGTTTGCAAATGAATCCATAATAGGTTTTGGTGTTTATGAGGTTAAGTCTCTTGCCTCCTTTGAGAACATTTTCTTGGCTATTTTCAGACATTGATCCTAGCAGAAGAACTTTAGCATTGTTTCCTCAAAATCAAAAAATAAATGTTTAAAAACTTTACGGACATATTTGAGAAGCACATTAAAAGTATAAATTCAGTTCAGGAATTAACTGCTTTTAGATAGTATGTAGGAGCCGGGCACAGTGGCACGTGCCTGGAGTCCCAGCTACTTGGGAGGCTGAGGTGTGAGGATCTCTTGAGCCCAGGAGTTCTGGGCTGTAGTGCACTATGCGGATTGGGTGTCCGCACTAAGTTCAGCATCAATATGGTGACCTCCCGGGAGCAGGAGATCATCAGGTTGCCTAAGGAAGGGTGAACTGGCCCAGGTCAGAAATAGCGCAGGTCAAAACTTCCGTGCTGATCAGTAGTGGGATTGCACCTGTGAATAGCCACTGCACTCCAGCCTGGGCAACATAGCGAGACCCCGTCTCTTAAAAAAACAATACTAGATAGTATGTAGGAATCTTCTCTGTACAACATCCATCATAGCCCCGACCACAGGAATGCCATGATTAATCAAGAAATGAAGCACAGGCCACACACAGGCCACATGAAGCCTTGCCATTCATTCTCCCTCTCTCCCTGTGCCTCTGGCCCCCTCGCCACCTCACAACCTCCTGTTACACCCCAATTGCCCAGGAACTGGCCTGAGCCTACTTTCCCTAAAGCACTGTATGTACCGTACCTTATTTGGCTGCTGCCTTCCTTCTCCCTATTCAAACCTGATGGCCCAATATCCTATAACAAATCAATCCTACCATGTAACTGACTAGCTCTGTAATGCAAAGCATGTGGCCCAAAATGTGTCAGTGCCTTCTTTTACAGCCAGAGTTGAGGCAAAGACTGTCCAACAATCTAGGTGAGATGTCCTGAAACTGGTTAACATCAGCAGACAGCCAGAGAGGGATCTATGATGGAGCAGGGAGGCTGCACCAAGCCTCACCATGGCTGGCGGCACCATCCCATAAGCCAGGTCACCTACCTCCCTTTAATGACTCCAAGCTCACCAAGTAAGCCAATGTGGCTTTCTAGTCTGCTGACAACAAGAAGGAATTATCTATGAAAGGGCTCACTAAAAAAGGTTAAATGCCATCATAAATGGTTAGATTGCAATTTCTATGAGTTTAGCTTGAGTCCTTTTCCCCTCTGGCCTCTGTGATCAATAATGGGTATTTTATTTATTTATTTATTTTGAGATGGAGTCTCGCTCTGTTGCCCAGGCTGGAATTCGAGGGTGCAATCTTGGCTCACTGCAACTCCACCTCCTGGGCTCAAGCAATTCTCCTGCCTCAGCTTCCGAGTAGCTGGGATTACAGGCACCCACCACCACACCTGGCTAATTTTTGTATTTTCAGTAGAGATGGGGTTTCACTATGTTGGTCAGGCTGTTCTTGAATGCCAGACCTCAAGTGATCCTCCCACCTCGGCCTCCCCAAAGTGCCGGGATTATAGGCATGAACCACTGTGCCTGGCCTAATAATGGGCATTCTGACAGACAAGTTTCTAGGCCTGCAAAGATGAAAGCCACACTTTTGATAGTGATAACCTCCTATCTTTCTAAGGGAGTCAGAGTATACCCCTTTTAATTATAATGTGTAGCTCAACTTACAATTATGAATGTATTCCCAGGCCGGGCGTGGTGGCTCATGCCTATAATCCCAGCACTCTGGGAGGCTGAGGTAAGCGGATCACTTGAGGTCAGGAGTCCAAGACCAGCTTACCCAAAATGAAGAAACCCTGTCTCTACTAAAAAATGCAAAAATTAGCTGGGCGTGGTGGTATATGCCTGTATTCCCAGCTACTTGGGAGGCTGAAGCAGGTGAATCACTTGAACCCAGGAGGCAGAGATTGCAGTGAGCCAAGATCGCGCCATTGCACTCCACTCTGGGCAACAGTTGCCCAGGCTGGAGTGCAATGGCGCGATCTTGGCTCACTGCAACCAAGTATATTGTTTTATGTATATATATACATACATACATAAAACTATGAATGTATTCCTGAAACAATATACTACGTGTGTAAGGCTCAGACTCCCATGCCCATAGGCCCTTTCTAAAACAAGAAGCTACAGACATTCCTGGTCAAGAGCTGACATGATTTGTGTCATCTGAGTCAGGCCATGGCTGATTAGATCAAGAATTTGCACTCTAGCCTGAGGCAACCTACAAACTAATCATAGGTACTCTAGGGCCATAAGGGCCATATGTCATAAAGGCCCTGTAGCCTAAAATAGGCTTAATGAATACACATGGCCCCAAAAGGCTGCTCCCTTATGGAGAATAACTGTACTAGTCAGATTCTCTCTCCTGGGAAGACAAAGAAGCTGAGGGAGCCTTACACAGAAGCAAAAGGGACTCACTGCAAGTTTCTGAAGGCAATTGTGAGAATCTGACTCAAATCTCAACTCAGCCACCTACTAACCAGCTGACCTTGGGTAAATTACTTAATTTCCTTTTTTTTTTTTGAGAGATAGTCTCACTCTGTCTCCCAGGCTGGAGTGCAGTAGCACGATTTCACTGCAACTTCTGCCTCCTGGGTTCAAGTGATTCTCCTGCCTCAGTCTTCCGAGTAGCTAGGACCACGGGTGCGCACCACCACGCCTAATTTTGTATTTTTAGTAGAGACAGGGTTTTGCCATGTTGGCCATGCTGGTCTCGAACTCCTGACCTCAAGTGATCCACCCACCTCAGCCTCCCAAAGTGCTGGGATTACAGGCATGAGCCACCATGCCTGGACCCTAAATTATTTTTCTAAGCCTCAGTTTTCTGTTCTATAAAACTGAGACAATGATAGGTGTACATTATATAATACTCATAGAATTGTGAGAATTACACAGAGTGAAAAACATAGGCTGGGTATGGTGGCTCACGCCTGTAATCCCAGCACTTTGGGAGGCCGAGGTGGGCAGATCATCAGACTCTATCCCAAAAAAACCAAACCAACACAAAAGAAAACAAAAAACCATAAAGATACTCCAAGAATGTTATGAAGTTGTCAGAAGAAAAAAAAAAACCATAAAGAATTCAGCAGAGTCTTTGGCCAGGTAGACTTCTCAATGTATGAACATGATTTTTCTTACTACCTTTTAGGCCACTAGAGCTACTGCTTTGCTCCAAGGAGTAGTAAGCAATCTGCTTTTTTTTTTTTTTGAGATGGAGTCTCCCTCTGTCACCCATGCTGGCATGTAGTGGTGCAATCTCGGTTCAAGAGATTCTCCTGACTCAGCCTCTTGAGTAGCTGGGACTACAGATGCACGCCACCACGCCCGGCTAAGTTTTTGTACTTTTAGTACAAAACTTGGGTTTCATCATGTTAGTCAGGCTGTTCTCAAACTCCTGACCTCAGCTGATCCGCCTGGCTCGGCCTCAGAAAGTGCTGGGATTACAGGCATGTGCCACCACACCCGGCCACAATCTGCTCCTAATTACCCTGCAAAAATCCCAGGAGACTCTCAACTCCAGGGAGAACCTGACTGCTCTGCAGCCTCTTCCCACCTCCCTCACACACCTGGGCGGGTGGACTGTCATATCGTCATCCATCCCTCACAACCCCCATGTTAGAGAGATGTCTATAAGGAAGACCAATATATTTCAGAGCAGCATACCTGGAAAAATGCAAACCCTGGGGTGTCATCAATCCAAAGTTACCAGGGAAAAGGGGAAAGGCAAATGCTGAAGCTGTTCCTGAACAGTTCTTGGATTTCAGATACAGAAAATACTTACTAAAAGCATCTACTGCCTTTGTCAGATTGTTCTGGGCAGACCTGAAAACACAAAATAAAATAAAGTATTTTTCCTTTTGAAAAAAAAAAAAAAAAAAAAGAACAGAACAAAAATATGATCACATTTTCATTTAAGTCTGTAAAAACCCTGTCTTCTACCACGTCTGAAGTACATTTCCAGTGACCCGAAAGCTCCTAGCCTCAGGTGTCCCTTCATGGCCGCGCCCTCGCCCCAGGTGTTTAAAGTCCCACCTGGGAGCCTCTCTATTAACTATGGAAGACGATTCTGTCAGATTACACTTATTGTACGTGTTTATGCACATCTTTCTCAGTAATACTTCAGGCAGTACAGAAGTACCCTTTATCCTGTTGCTTTTGTTTTTTATTTTTTTTGAGATAGGGTCTCTTCCGTCTCCCAGGCTGGAGTGCAGTGATGTGATCTTGGCTCACTGCCATCCCCACCTCATAGGCTCAAGCGATCCTCCCACTAGCAATCCTCCCACCTCAGCCTTCTGAGTAGCTGGGATTCTGTAATCCCACCACACCTGGCTAATTTTCTGTAGTTTTGGTAGAAGTAGGGGCCTCACCATGTTGCCCAGGCTGGTCTTGAACTCCTAAGCTCAAGTGACCCACCTGCCTCAGCATCCCAAAGTACTGAGATTACAGGTATGAGCCACCACACCCGACCTATCCTGTTACCTACAAACTAGAAATAATCTGTAAGTACTCGATTTTCCACCACCCTTACATGAAAAAGCTCTTTGGCATTAAAACTCATCAGAGACTTTTGTTGTTACTGTCTGCATCCTGAGAGGTGGTGGCTTTGGATGTGGATCATGAAGGCTTTCTTGAAGTTAGCTTTCATTCATGTCCTTGCTGCTATGACTGTTTGGGTATTGAGAACCAAGAGACTTTAGCAGGTACTGAACTCTCAGTTGGCTTCACATCAAAATTCAAGCACTGATGGGCGATGACTGCTATGTGCTTTCTGATGAGGTGTTTTTGGGAACTAGATATCCTGTAACCAACGTGTGACAGGATTTTTTTTTTTTTTTTCTTGAGACGGAGTTTCACTCATGTTACCCAGGCTGGAGTGCAATGGCGCGATCTCGGCTCACCGCAACCTCCGCCTCCTGGATTCAGGCAATTCTCCTGCCTCAGCCTCCTGAGTAGCTGGGATTACAGGCACGCACCACCATGCCCAGCTAATTTTTTGTATTTTTAGTAGAGACGGGGTTTCACCATGTTGACCAGGATGGTCTCGATCTCTTGACCTCGTGATCCACCCGCCTCGGCCTCCCAAAGTGCTGGGATTACAGGCTTGAGCCACCGCGCCCAGCTGGTGACAGGATTTTTATATGTTGTATGTTTTTATACCAACAGTGGCATCAAATCTCAGGTTTTAAAAGGGAAGGTTATTTTTCAATCTATACTAATATTTACCTCAGGAACATTTCCAAGGTAAGGATTCATATCTATCTCCTGCCCTGCTAAGAGAGGTGGGTTTTCATCGCAACCTGCAAATTCATTTATCCATACAAGGCAGGTCAAATCACTGGCTTGGGCAGGGCATCCCAACACTTTGGGAGCCTGAGGCAGGCTGATCACTTGAGGGCAGACTACTTGAGATCAGGAGTTTGAGACCAGCCTGGCCAACACGGTGAAACCCCGTCTCTACTAAAAATATTTTAAAAATTAGCTGGGTGTGGTGGTACACCCCTGTAATCCCTGCTACTCAGGAGGCTGAGACATGAGAATTGCTTGAATCTGGGAGGCGGAGGTTGCAGTGATTTGACATCTGGCCACTGCACTCCTGCCTGGGCGAGACTCCATCTCAGGAAAAAAAAAAAAAAAAAAAATCCCTGACTTTTCCAGCTTACCAAGACTACTGCTGAAACACTATAGATGCTTGAAATCATGTTCCAAAGCTTAAAACATATTTTTCTTATTCATCTACCAAGACTGATGAAGTCAAGGAAGTACCTAACATTAGATCACTGTACATCCTATGCCTCATTTTCTCTGCAATGGGAAACGGAAGTGAGCTATATAATGTGATATACGGAGCAACTGCAGCTATCTGAGGACTGAGCAACAACATGCCTAAGCTACAACAATCCTGGCGACGGCAGACTTCTTATTGATATCGTATGCTTTTATTCATCTGCAATGTTAATAAAGCAGACTTTTCCTTTCATGATTCCTTTTGAGAAATAAGTTTTTAATTATACTAGAATCATATTCAATAAAACTCTGCAGAACCATGAATGCCCTCCTTGTGACAAGGCTGGGACACACAATGATCTACTGGTTGAAACAAGGGCTTTAAAGTCAGAGGCCTGGCTTTGCCACTAATTAGTTATGTGATTTTAGACAAGTGACGTCATTTCTCCAAGTATTTCCTCATTCAAAAAAAAAAAATTATTCTACTTATACCCTCAACAGCTTCTAATCACACTAAGAAGAGAATGCAAACTTCCTTACCTTGGCTTACATAATCTGACCCTGCCTACTGCATCCACTTCCTTCTTGGAGTCCAGAACACACCACACCCTTCCCACTGCCTGGCTTTGGCCAAGGCCACCCGCTGACCTTCATGTCTCACTAGGCAGGTCTCAGGGAGCCACCCTACTCTCCACCCCACTGTCCCCCTTTCAGTCTTCCTAACATTCAATTTGCCATTTTCTTACATGTGTACTGTCTACCACTCCTTCTAAAATTAAGTTCCGTAAGAATAGGGACTTATCTGTCTTGTTCACTCCTATATTTCTCAGGCATAGAAGAGGGCTGCCACAAGTCAGTGCTATTTGTAGAACAAAGACACAGAACCTCCAAATTTAGGAGATGATTCAGGAAGAGAGAATGCTACAAAGGCTGAGCAGTATTTCTAGAAGTGTGCCTGCTCAAGTTACAGAACCCCTCATCCACCTCCCCAAACTGGCAGTTTCTTGAAAACAGGGATGGGTGGCATTCGTCCTCTAGGACCAACACCAAACATGTGCTGATGGAATGGGGCACCGTTTTTGTTGAATTTGTGGTATGCATCTTCACAGATTCCTCCTCCAATAACTACTGGTTTGTGCTTTAAAACAAAATGTTTCACCATGTTGCCTGGGCTGGTCTTAAACTCCTGAGCTCAAATAATCCACCTGCCTTGGCCTCCTAAAGTGTTAGAATTACAGGTGTGAGCTACTGTGCCTGGTCCCAGCCACAGATGTTCCTAATGGGGCCTACCTAGAATGATGAATCCTTCTCAGAAGGTTTACAATTTACTTTGCCTAGACCTGAGGAATCATAATCTATGGCAGCTTTCCCCATGAAATATATTCTTAAATAATAAGACTTGAAAGTTGAAATTAGCCATGCTTGGGAGCACAAACCTGTAATCCCAGCTACTGAGGAGGCTGAGGCAAGAGAATCTCTTGAACCCAGGAGGCAGAGGTTGCAGTGAGCCCAGATCACACCACTGCATTCCAGCCTGGGTGACAGAGCAAAAATTCAACTCAAAAAAAAAAAAAAAAAAAAAAAGTTGAAAGCTACAGAACAAATGTTGTGTTAGGAGGCATGAAAACAACATTCATCTCCTTGTACACCTCCAACAAAGCAGTTGACTGGCTAGGTACATTGTCAAATGAGCAGTAATATTTTGAGAGTCTTTTCTTCTGAGCAGTAGGTCTCAACAGTAGGCTTAAAATATTCACTAAACCAGGCCAGCCATGGTAGCTCACTCCTGTAATCCCAGCACTTTGGGAGGCTGAGGTGGGCAGATTGCCTGAGGTCAAGAGTTTGAGACCAGCCTGCCTAACATGGTAAAACCCTATCTCTACTAAAAACACAAAAATTAGCTGGGCATGGTGGTGCACATCTGTAGTCCCAGAGCTACTTGGGAGGTTGAGGCAGGAGAATAGCCTGAACCCAGAAAGTGGAGGTTGCACTGAGCTGAGATCACACCAACACACTCCAGCCTGGGCAACAGGGTAAGACTCTGTGTGTGTGTGTCTCTCTCTCTCTCTCTCTCTCTCTCTCTCTCTTTCAATAAATAATGCTGTAAACAAATGTGCTTCCAACCAGGCTTTGTCATTCCATTTCTAGAGACCAGGCAGAGTAGCTTTAGCATGATTCTTAAGGGCCACAGGATTTCTGGAATGGTAAACAAGCATTGGCTTCAACTTAAAGTCATTAGCTGCATTTACCCTTAACAAGAGTCGGCCTGTTCTTTGAAGGTTTGAAGCCAGGCATTAACTTCTCTCTAACTATAAAATTCCTAGATGGCATCTTCTAATGTAAGACTGTTTGGTCTACATTGAAAACCTGTTGTTTAGTGCAGCTACCTTTGTCCATTATAATAGCCAGATCTTCTGGATAACTTGCTGCAGCTTCTCCATCAGCACTTGCTGTTTCACCTTGCACTTTTATGTCATGGAGATGGTTTCTTCCCTTGATCCTCATAAACCAGCTTCTGCTAGCTTCAAATTTTTCTTCTAAAGATTCCTCACATCTCTCAGCCTTCACAGAATTGAAGAGAGGACCTTGCTGTGGATTAGGCTTCAGAGAATGTTGTGGCTGGTTTATCTTCTATCCAAACCACTAAAACTTTCTCTATCAGCAATAAGGCTGTTTCACTTTCTTATCATTCATATGTTCCCTGGAGTAGTAGCTCTTTTGACTTCCTTCAAAAACCTCTCCTTTGCCGGGCGTGGTGGCTCAAGCCTGTAATCCCAGCACTTTGGGAGGCTGAGGCGGGTGGATCACGAGGTCAAGAGATCGAGACCATCCTGGTCAACATGGTGAAACCCCGTCTCTACTAAAAAAATACAAAAAATCAGCTGGGCATGGTGGCACGTGCCTGTAATCCCAGCTACTCAGGAGGCTGAGGCAGGAGAATTGCCTGAACCCAGGAGGCGGAGGTTGCGGTGAGCCGAGATCGAGCCATTGCACTCCAGCCTGGGTAACATGAGTGAAACTCCGTCTTTAAAAAAAAAAAAAAAAAAAAAAACAAAAAAAACTTCTCCTTTGCATTCACAACTTGGCTGTTTGGCACAAGAGGCATAGGTTTTGCCTATCTTGGCTTTCTACACGTCTTCCTTGCTAAGCTTAGTCATTTCTTGATTAGTCATTAGCCGGGCGTGGTGGCAGGCGCCTGCAATCCCAGCTACTTGAGAGGCTGAGGCAGGGGAATTGCTTGAACCCGGGAGGCAGAGGTTGCAGTGAGTTGAGATTGGGCCACTGCTCTCTAGCCTGGGTGACAGAGCAAGACTCCATCTCTAAATAAGTAAATAAATAAATAGTGAGGGACATGCATCTTGTCCTTTCACTTTAACGCATAGAGGCCATTGCAGGGTCATTAATTGGCCTAATGTTAATATTGTGTCTCAGGAGGAGAGGGTGAGAGATAGGGGAATGGCCTGCAGTGGAACCATCAAAACACACACAACATTTATCAATTAAGTTCACCACCTTATATGGATGCGGTTTGTGGTGCCCCAAAACAATTGTAATCAGTAATCAAAGATTAGTGATCACAGATCACCATGACAGATATTATAAGAATGAAAAAGTTTGAAGTATTATGAGAATTACCAAAGTGTGAACAGAGAGCCACAAAGCACATGTTGTTGGAAAAGTGGCAGCGACAGACTCGCTCAATGCAGGGCGGCCACAAGACTTCAATTTGTACAAAACCCAGGATCTGTGAAGCACATTAAAGAGCAAGAAGGCGGGGCATGGCAGCATATCCAGACCAAAGCACTGCCTCATTTCTGCTTTAAACAAACTTACTGCAAATCCTGGGCATCTAAAGCTCCTATGACTGAAGAATTTTAGGCCCTTTCTGGATTGCAAAGTCAGCATGAGATGCTCAATGCAAAAGTTTTAACAATAGAAAAAATGCTGTAAGGCAATCTCTACAATTTATCAATTCACAAACAAAGCAAAACAAGTGTGGCAGAGATTAACTTCTCCTCTCTCCTTCCTCAAATCTGAATGATACTGCAGATCGCTTACCTGCCATGCTTACACATTGTCACTGAAATGTGCTTAGGTAATTTTCAGAAAACACAGGGCGATATACTCATTCTCCCATTTGGACTACTCTGGGGAAAACCACCTGTGTAAGTTAGTTCAAGAGCTGGATGCTGTAAGCAACAGCCTAGTTATAACCAAGGTTCATCTGTGACAACCATCACTAGCCCTGCCACTCACCCATACCACAAGAACAGGAAAACTTTACAGCTGGATCACAGAAACAGTAACCAAAATCAACACTGCTTTCTATTTCCTTGCCCATGAAAACATATAGATTGAGTGAGAAAGCTGAGGCCTAGAGACATGATAGGGATTTCTGCCATTGTCCAGGGTCACACACACATAGCAGTGGCAAGGCCAGGAATAGACTCAAATCCCCTGTGCACCTTTTTACCACCTCCCTTCCTCTGGTAACCTTTTTTCTTCCTCCCTTGCAGTTCGTCCTTTATTTTCTTCCTTTTCTTGCCTGTGGTAACCTACAGAGAGTACTGGCTATCAGTTAGGGCTAAATAGGTTGGTAGTCTCTACACTAGATCTACTCAAAATCTATTTTAAAATAAAATGGAATGTTTCCAACATCTTACTCGTTGACTTCCATGTCCTGATCATCAGAAGATTCATCTTCTCCTAGGATATTTTCAGCATCTGGTTTCCGAATGAGAAAGAACAGAACTGTCCCCACAAGGCTAATCACTGTTAGGGCAATAAATACCGTTCTTCGGTCACTCTCTAAGGAGAGAAAAGAAGAAACTAGATAGTATCAACCAAACAATTCCAGAATTAGTGTCAGAGTACAAGGGTTGCTTATAACTGTCAACACACTTTCTTGTTACATTTTCACTTTAATCCATCAGTCAAAACTCAGGACAAGGAGATAAACGGGATACCTTCACCTTTGCCTTTCAGTTAGAGAAACATGAATAAGCCAAAGAAAAATAGCACAAGAGCTTAATCGCCTTCTTTTAATCAAAGAAGGGTGCGGACAAAACAACTAACAACTGGGCATTCAAGTCCTCTGACAACTGGACACTCACACTCAGCACACCTGTACACTGGCGCACAGCATAACCTTCCCTTACACTTTGGATGCCACTTACAGCTTAGGCATAAACTACAACCTAGTTTAATAATATAAATCAAGGAAAAGGCTTATGAAAAGCTAAAGTCTGAGAGAACTTGAGGTGTCAGGGCTCATGAGAACAATGCTTGAATAAAGCAATAATGAGTATTTCTGTATAACTCCTATTATGCTTTGAACATATCTGAATAAAGCAAAGCAAATAAAACAAACCTGATATCTGAGTTTTCCCTTGCCAGGCAAAACATATGTAGAGATTTCCAAAGAACAAGCTGGGGGAAGAAAACGGAGGATAAGATGTTGGGAAATTATTTTATTATTTAAGGTTTTTAAAAAATAATTATTCCCATTATTTGTTGCAAGACAGAGAGAAAAACACAATTTTTCTTTTTGAGACGGAGTCTCCCTCTGTCGCCCAGGCTGGAGTGCAGTGGCGTGATCTTGGCTCACTACAACCTCTGTATTCTGGTTTCAAGAGATTCTCCTGCCTCAGCCTCCCCAGTAGCTGGGATTACAGGTGCCCACCACCACACCAGGCTAATATTTGTAGTTTTAGTAGAGACGGGGTTTCACCATGTTAGTCAGGCTGGTCTCAAACTCCTGTGTTCATGATCCACATGCCTCGGTCTCCCAAAGTGCTGGGATTACAAGTGTGAGTCCCCGTGCCCAGCAGGACGTCATTTTTAAAGTATCTACCTGTGCTGGGTCGTTTAAAAGTATCAACTCATCTGGACTCTGATAAACTTAACTGACCCAGATGGAATTCAGTCTCCTTCCATGTGACAGTAACCTGATTCAGAGGCACCCTTCAGAGAAGACTTGACTCACTTTGAAACATGTGATTTATTGCAACTCTGGAAATGACTCCCTGGAAACAAGCTTAAGCTAAATTGTAAAGAATCTATTTCTAAAAATCCATGATTTAATTATCTGCATCTAATCAAATACTTTCTTTAGCACACTTTCCTAGACAAAGAATCATCCACTTACACTAGAGTTTCTTAATATACAACCCCTTAAAATGCAACATTTGCATTTGTTAAGCCTTGTCAAGGCCAAAATTTGAGGCATGATTCATGAGGGTAATTCCTCAGGAAAGATTCCTGAAATCCAACAGTCAAGAGCAGAATGGCTGGTTTTGCTTTCTTCTTAAGAAAATGTTAATGCTATATTCAGTATTGGTATAAATAGTCCTGGGTAGCTAGTGAGCCACCATGCCCAGTTGTAATTCTATAAAATTTTGAATCATATCACATTCAACTAGAACTTAAGTAATGTAACATGGAAGATCCAAATTGTCAACCAAAGACCTAAAAAATGGCATGACAAAAACAAAATCAAAGGAAAGACTGAACTTCAAAAAGATAATTACCTAGACTGCAGGAGCGCCCAGAAAATCCCACTGTTTCTCCCAATGGTGTGCTCATCGGAATTTATTGTCAGGCAGTTTCCTTGTGCTGTCCAGAGCACTAAAATTCAAACCAAAAGTTTATCAAGGGAAAGACATTCACTTAGCGTTACATACTAAACACACAAATGATACCTTTAGGCCCCAGAAAAGAAAACAGAGAAGTTAAAAATCAAAACACTTACCAGCAGCTGCAATTCCAATGAAAACAGAGGCTGTGTAGAAGGACCATGGGAAAGGCTGGATAAAAACGGCAATGTACATGCTAAAATATAACAGGTCAAGGTATTATAGTCAAACGATACCTGAAATAGAATGCCAATTATGCCTTCTAGGAATCAGTTCTGAGATTCTCTTCTTTTAAAACTCAACCTGCAAAGGATCGCTCCAGTTTTGAAAACAGGGACACAACTTTCTCATTTCTTAATCAATTAATTTTTTTGAAACAGGGTCTCTACATGGCCTAGACTGGAGTGCAGTGGCACCATCACAGCTCACTGCAACCTCCACCTCCCAGGCTCAAGTCATCCTCCCACCTCAGCCTCGAAAGTAGCTGGGACTACAGGCATGTGCCACCACACCCGGCTAATTTTTTCTATTTTTGGTAGAGACAGGGTTTCACCATATTGCCCAGGCTGGTCTCGAACCCCTGGGCTCAAGCGATCCTCCACTCAAGCGATACCTCGGCCTCCCAAAGTGTTGCGATTTACAGGTGTGAGCCACTGAGCCTGGCCCGTAATTTATCATTTCAAATTTGTAAAATCAAGACATTTGACAGGTTTGCAGTGTCCTTTGCCAAAAGCTTAGCACATTATGGAACTACAGTTCTAGAGTTCAGCGAAACATTTAGTTATTTCAGACATGATTTTGAATCCCCACTTATCTTCAGTCTACTGACAGAAAGTAAGATTATTTCATGGAATGTTCTTTTCAACCCTCATGGAAAGAGTCTTTTGGATACTATTTTTATTAACAGTAAAACAAAAGCAGATACACATACATACTATCACATTAGCATCTGATATCTCTGAGCAACAAGTACTGAGCCAGAAGTCCTCAAATCCCACCTATATTCTATTCGGCTCAAGCCTATAAATTATTGTGAAAAATTTACTATCTACTTGAAAGATCCTGAAAAGTGTTCTAATTAAATAAGTCAAAGATGACACTACTCACCTGTAAAATAAACCACTGGCAAACATAGAGAGTTGAGGTCCTACAATGGCCACCACTGACGGTGTAATCAAATTTGAGGCAGAGAACACTCCATAGATAATTGCCATGCTGCACACATAATACACAAATGAAAAAAAAAAAAAAAAAAAAAAAAAAGAGAACAAAGCCCTTGTATGCTGTGTCACTTTTTAAAAAAATTTATTTATTTTTTTATCGCATTTTAGGCTTTGGGGTACATGTGAAGAACATGCAAGATTTTGCAGAGGTACACACATCGCAGTGTGATTTGCTGCCTTCCTCCCCATCACCTATATCTGGCATTTCTCCACATGCTATTTCTCCCCAACTCCCCATCCCCCACTGTCCCTCCCCTATTTCCCCCCGACAGACCGCTGTGTCACTTTTTAAAATCCATTTGTGTTTATAGATTTTACAATAAACAGTCATATTCTTTAGTCAGAATTTATAATAATTATATCACTAAACTCAACACCATATAAAAGTTTTCATTTCTAAAAAACATTGAAGTCCCATCAGTGGTGTCTTAAGATCAGTTTGTCTACAGCAATACGTTTTTTATGGACTGCTAAGTCATAACTACAGGCACTGCGCCAAGTACTTATACATGCTTTCTGTTTTAATCCTAACAGCTCTAGGAAGAAGATATTGCTATTATCCTCATGTTAGAGAAAAGGAAAAGGAAATACAGTGGGGTTAAGTAATTTGCCAAAAGTCCGCCTGAGTGGCTGGTAAATGTCAAGCCAGGGCTGCATGACTCCAGAGGCCCTAGTCCACCAATCTCCTCTACAAACTTAGCCTACAACTCCTGGCAGCTCCATGACATTTCTCTGCTATAAATAACAAGCGCAGAGTTACGACTTGCTTAAGCCAGAATTTATTTAACACAACCTAACGGTCTCACTTGAACATCACTCAGTTACTATTGACCGAGCCCTAGTACATTGTCTTGTACAAAGTGTGACTAAAACTATTTCAAGGGCCCTGACTGAATTCATTTACTAGGCACTATTCATAAATCCAAAGTAAATTATTCTTTGGCTTTTATGAATCTCTCAAGTATCAAAGGTCTTTTTCTTTTTGTATTTATTCTTTAGAATACACATAAAGACAAAGCAGTACAAAAAGCTGTGCCTCAAATGTTATATACAAGGCTTAGGATAGGTAATGAAGAACCAAGTAAGAGTTATGGGTTTGTGGGGGTGGATGGGGGTGTCATGATCCAACCTCTAACTCTAGAGAAATAAACCTGTTTCTATAGCTCAGTGTAGACATTCCACGATATATATTTCAAAACATGCTGTACACAATAAATACACGCAATTTTCATTTGTCAATTAAAAAAATCTAACTTTAAAAAAGAAAAACCTATTTGTGTTTCTATACGTATACATATTACATTCTCAGCTCCAATCACAAGGCTCTAGTGACTTGTGAAGGTCTTTTCTTTTTTTTTTTTTTTTTTTTTAGATGGAGTCTTGCTTTGTTGCCCACACTGGAGTGCAGTGGCGCAATCTCAGCTTACTGCAACCTCCACCTCCTGAGTTCAAACAATTCTCTTGCCTCAGCCTCCAGAGTAGCTGGGATTACAGGCATGCACCATCACACCTAATTTTTTTGTATTTTTAGCAGAGACAGGATTTCACCATATTGGCCATGCTAGTCTGGAACTCCCGATCTTGGGATCCACCCGCCTTGGCCTCCCAAAGTGCTGGGATTACAGGCGCCAGCCACTGCCCCTGGCCTCAGGTCATTTTACCCATCTGTAAAATTGGGACTAAACACTTCACCAAAAATCTAAAAGTTCCCAACATATTAATCGTCATGAAATTACAAACACAGAAGGACCAAATGTTTCAAGAATCACAACACGTTCTGCTCAGGACAGGGCAATTCTACCCATAACGATAGTAGGCTGCTTCTTCAATGCCATGCACAAGTGCCTTACAGGCATTTTCTGTGCTAGGAAATTGGGCTCAAGAATCACAACACGTTCTGCTCAGGACAGGGCAATTCTACCCATAACGATAGTAGGCTGCTTCTTCAATGCCATGCACAGGTGCCTTACAGGCATTTTCTGTGCTAGGAAATTGGGCTCATGGCAACACTTGCCTAAGTTAACAATGGAACACTTTGTAAAATGAGGATTTCAAATCTAGTGTCTAATTCCACAGAAAACATCAACTCATCAGCTTTATTTTATTATGTTCTCCCAGTCTAGGTACTGAGAAGAGAAAATGCAATCACCACTAATTCAGTCACAATATTCTATGGCTGGTGATTCTGACGGGATTTAAGCAACTACTGTTAAATATAAAGCAAAACTAATCATGCAGTACGATACCTGGTATATCCACTGCCGTGAAAATCTGTGCTATTTAAGCTCCTGATGACAGTTTGCTGTGTGGAAGATAAAACCAATCAACGAAAACGTTTTGCAGTCTCCCTCCCCCCACCTTGGGAAGTGTGACTCCCAAGTACTCAAAATGCAAATAAAGTAAAAGTTCATAATGCTCTATATTTAATACTGAAGTCCATTATGAGAAAAGAAAAAAGACAACAGAATTGGAGAAGGCAAACCAATGACAGGGAGAGGGGGAGGAAAAGCAGCTGTAACTACGCCTTGGGTTTCCTCCCTTAACCATCCAAGTACTAAGGAACAGCTTCATACAGACAAGAAATAAAGTAACTAGGTCAACATCCAAACCCCTAATCAAATCAGGTAAACGGTAATGCTTAACTCCACCCCCCCCCCATATAGGAGGAATATCTGACGTAAAAAATCAAACCTAATTTTAAAAAATGAGGCAGCCTGGGTGGGAAAAATAAAAGATGCAATTTAAGCGCGCCACTAGATATAATTAACGTTTATTATCATTTCTGGAATGCATTATGCTGGGCACTTCAAAGGAAGGAGGACAGGTTCCAACTCACCGCCACATTTCCACAAGTTTGAAAGGCAGTGAACATAAACATAAAGGCAACTCCTAAAATAATGATGTTGAAAAGCTTTTTAGATTCCGGGGACATTGTGGCTCAGCTCCGCCGGAGGTCAGCAGCAGCCCAGGGCAGTCAGCTCTCGTCGGGGCGAAGCCACTGACAATCCTGGGGAAAGATATGAGGTGGTGAGCGGAGAAGGCAGATGCCGGAGCCAGCAGCCAAGCTGTCAACTTCCAGTTCATGAATCAGAATCCCGGGTTTAGGGCGAAGTTCTCCCCACCGGCATTTAGGACATTCCGAAGATCCGATTTGAGTACGGAAGAGCACAACCCTCGGAGAAGCGCCAAGAATGTAGCCGCTCCAGGTTGAGGGGGCCGCGAAGGGGATTAAGGGGCCAAGAGGGAGCCACAGCAGCCCAGCCCGCGCAGCCCCGCCCTCCCCGCCTGATTCACCGCGGTCAGGCGACCCGGTCACCTGACCGCAGCCGCGGCGCCGGCCGCTCGGCCCGCTGGGAAACGTAGTCCCGGGTGGCCCACCAGGAGCAGGTGCTCCGCAGACACGCCCCACCGCCAGGGCGCAGAGCTGGCCGAGCTCGCTGGCTCTGGCGCAAGTGGGTGAGGAAGCGGACCGTGGAGAAGAGCAATCGGGAACTATTGGAGGGGGCCGAGAGACGACGCAGCGGAGTCTGAGGAGGCCGGGGTCACAAGGAGAGGGAAATAGGGGCAGAAGCACCCTTCTGACAGAGGCAGGGCTGAGGGCTGGGGGCTGAGCAGAAAAGCTGCGTGGACTCGGCGTATTGGAATGAAAAGAAGGCGGGCCCTAGAGGGGGAGCACCTCCTCTTCCTCCTGCCCGAGCGCGGTCGTCCGGCCTCCCAGGCGGAAACAGCGTTTCGCGGGCTTTCCAACTGCCCGCTAATTCCGCTCCCCCTCCCTCCAGCAGTGACTCCGCGCTTTTTGGCCCGCCCGCCGGGCTGTGCGCAGGCGCGTCGGGCACGCGGCAGGGACGTTGCAAAACGGAGTGCGGCGGCCCAATCAGAGGATTTCGTTTCCGGGTGGCGCGGGCGCCATTTTGTGAGGCGGCATATAAAAAGGCGCTGGGTCCGGCCCCCCGCCCAGTTGTTGCTGAGGTGCGTTGGGCTGGAAAGGCTGTCTGTGCTGTTGGCCCTCAAGGCCTTCCCCGGCGTCCCCACGCGGAAGGCAACAGCCAGACGAGAGACGCGGCGTCGCACCGCCCAGAGCCGCAGAAGCCGGCGCCAGTTCGCGGGGCTCCGGGCCGCCTCTCAGCCATGAGCTACGGCCGCCCCCCTCCCGACGTGGAGGGTATGACCTCCCTCAAGGTGGACAACCTGACCTACCGCACCTCGCCCGACACGCTGAGGCGCGTCTTCGAGAAGTACGGGCGCGTCGGCGACGTGTACATCCCGCGGGACCGCTACACCAAGGAGTCCCGCGGCTTCGCCTTCGTCCGCTTCCACGACAAGCGCGACGCCGAGGACGCCATGGACGCCATGGACGGGGCCGTGCTGGACGGCCGCGAGCTGCGGGTGCAGATGGCGCGCTACGGCCGCCCCCCGGACTCGCACCACAGCCGCCGGGGACCGCCACCCCGCAGATACGGAGGCGGTGGCTACGGACGCCGGAGCCGCAGGTGAGCCGGGCGGGGGACCGCGGGAGGCGGGGCAGGGCGCGCGGGAGGCCGGGGCGCCTCACAAAGATCCGCGGCGAAGCACGTGGGGCGGGCCCGGGCGGGGCGGGGCGGGGCGGGGGTGCACGCGGCTCCCCGCGACCCTCGGGCCGCCCCGCGCGCTTCCGCCCTCTGCGACCCGGCGGCGTCCCGGGTGTGGGCGGCGCGGGGCGCGGGACCCCGCCTCGCGACTGGGGAAATGGCGTCTGGCGGCGAGATAATGGCGGCCTGGGCAGGAGCGCGCGGGCGGGGCCGGCCCCGCCGCCAGGAATTAACCCCGCTGTGCTGCTCGTCCCGCCTGCAGCCCTAGGCGGCGTCGGCGCAGCCGATCCCGGAGTCGGAGCCGTTCCAGGTCCCGCAGCCGATCTCGCTACAGCCGCTCGAAGTCTCGGTCCCGCACTCGCTCCCGCTCTCGGTCGACCTCCAAGTCTAGATCCGCGCGAAGGTCCAAGTCCAAGTCCTCGTCGGTCTCCAGATCTCGCTCGCGGTCCAGGTCCCGATCTCGGTCCAGGAGTCCTCCCCCCGTGTCCAAGAGGGAATCCAAATCCAGGTCGCGATCCAAGAGTCCCCCTAAGTCTCCTGAAGAGGAAGGAGCGGTGTCCTCTTAAGAAAAAGGTAATGACTGGGAATCTGAGACCCAACCCTAACTCATGAATGGGATTTAGGGTAGGTCTTTTGAGCCGTGTTAATGTAAGAATGACTCCTAACGTTAGGAGTGCTGCTCTGAGGTTACTCACCTTTGGGAGTGATACTGAAGAGGGGTCTGCAGGAAGGATGTGTATGAAGCTTAGATAATAATGGCTGTTTCGTAAACTGTTTGAGACCTATTAATGAAAATGACTATTTCTTGCTGTTTTTATCCAACGTCTGCATTTTCCCCCTTTAAAGCTGCGGTCTCCTGTTTGATAAAAGAATATTGGCCAGTATTGCAGATTTTAACTGATTTGGCTGATCCTCCAGGGACCAGTTTCTGTGGGCGTGTATTGGAGCAGGTTTGTCTTTAAATGTTAAAGATGCACTATCCTCTTAGAGAAAAACATTCAGTTCAACTATTGTTGTACTGACTGGGACTTCATATTCTAATGGATGTGGCAAACGAATTGCAATAAGAAGCAGTGAACTTTTGGAACCCCAAAGAAAGATTACAGGTATCGCACTGGGTGGGGAAAGGATAGTGTGTCTTTAACTCTCAAATTGTTTGGTCCTATTTTTTAAAAAGGAAAGGGCCCTAAGTAGCTCAGTTAATAAAGTATTATTCTCAGTTGCCAAATGTTTCATTTGAAACAACTTATCTTAGTAAAATATAGACCAATTCTCTGATTTCGAGTTGTTTTTGTTTGGATACAGCCCCCCCTTTTTTTTTTCTTTTTCTTTTTTTTTTTTCCCCCTCCCCCTTACCATTCTTCACCTTGGTTATTTGGCCAGGAATACGTAAATTCAAACTTGTACATGGTGGTAGCCTTTGTGAAATTTCCTACTTGGGCCTTTAAAAAACATGGCTGGGTGGAACATTTCTGTACCCTACTCGTTTCACCAGAGCCTTAGTAAGTACATGCCTGAAACTGAAACCATGTGCACTTTAATGGAAGGTAAGCTGAACTTCTTTCTTTTCAAACCTAGATGTATCGGCAAGCAGTATAAATGGAGTACTTGGGGGAAAAGGACCACATACTCAGTCCATCTAAGAAGAGTCCTTGGAACAAGCAACTGGCTATTGAAAAGGTTATTTTGTAACATTTGTCTAACTTTTTACTTGTTTAAGCTTTGCCTCAGTTGGCAAACTTCATTTTATGTGCCATTTTGTTGCTGTTATTCAAATTTCTTGTAATTTAGTGAGGTGAACGACTTCAGATTTCATTATTGGATTTGGATATTTGAGGTAAAATTTCATTTTGTTATATAGTGCTGACTTTTTTTGTTTGAAATTGAACAGATTGGTAACCTAATTTGTGGCCTCCTGACTTTTAAGGAAACGTGTGCAGCCATTACACACAGCCTAAAGCTGTCAAGAGATTGACTCAGCATTGCCTTCATTCCTTAAAATTAAAAACCTACAAAAGTTGGTGTAAATTTGTATATGTTATTTACTTCAGATCTAAATGGTAATCTGAACCCAAATTTGTATAAAGACTTTTCAGGTGAAAAGACTTGATTTTTTGAAACAATTGTTTATCAAACACAATTCTAATCTCTTCTCTTATGTATTTTTGTGCACTAGGCGCAGTTGTGTAGCAGTTGAGTAATGCTGGTTAGCTGTTAAGGTGGCGTGTTGCAGTGCAGAGTGCTTGGCTGTTTCCTGTTTTCTCCTGATTGCTCCTGTGTAAAGATGCCTTGTCGTGCAGAAACAAATGGCTGTCCAGTTTATTAAAATGCCTGACAACTGCACTTCCAGTCACCCGGGCCTTGCATATAAATAACGGAGCATACAGTGAGCACATCTAGCTGATGATAAATACACCTTTTTTTCTCCTCCCCCCAAAAATGGTCATATCTATATGTATGAACTTAACATGGAAAATGTTAAGAAAATGGTTGTAACTTTGTAAGTACTTACAACATGGTGTACAACATGGTGTATCTTTTTGCTTATGAATATTCTGTACTATAACCATTGTTTCTGTAGTTTAATTAAAACATTTTCTTGGTGTTAGCTTTTCTCAGAATATGTCTTGGTTTTTTCTCCCCCATTTATTTGAAAGACCTATGCAATTGTTCTGTGATTATTGCTGACTGCATAGTATGGAAGTGGAATGTTAGTGCCTATCATTTCCTAAGTTAAAGTGGAAATGCTAGCTGAACACCTGAAATCAAGGTGGCACTTTGCTTGCGATTGTGATACCCCTTTATCAACCTAATTTATATCCTATTTAATGATTAAGGAACAATCCAAGTACTTCTAATAAGTATTTTAATTTTTGTTTCATATGAGTTAATGTGTTGTCTAGGTGACACAAATCTAAGGCCAACAGACTTGACCACCTTCAGACCCACTGCATTCTCAAGCTGAAGCGGTCTGAACCTAGTCTGTGTGCCAGGTTGCTCATCAGTATTAATACCCTCCCAGAACAGCTTGTAAGGTATTCAGAGACTGTCCTTTGCAAACGAAATGACCAGCATTTCAACTGTATGTCTTCCTGGAAGGGCAGATTCTGCTATATCTTCTTTGTCTGCATCAAAAGACTCCAGAGGAATATGGACACATTTCATATCCCATTTGTAGAGCAAAGCTTCAAGTGACCAGTCAGCACTTAAAAAAATTATAATAAATTGTTTTTTTTAAATCATGCCTTTTCTGTTTTGCTTCAGATATATTTTATTCTTAAATTATGTATTGCATGGGGCAGGGTAGAGTAAGGCTTAAGTTACATTCAAAAGTAAACTAGGGTTATCCATACTTACCTTCTAACTTGGTAAGTAGACCACAATTGGACCTTGGGGTTCTTCTGCATCAAAAAGTATATTGTAGTTAAAATGTCTTCAAAATCTGAGGAGAAAGGACTTATAAATACTTCCCTATAGCATCACTGGCCAGATGTCCTATTGAGCCAAAAAAAGTTTACCTTCTGGTTCAAAGAACACATCAGATGCAAGGATAATATCTTGTGGTGGTAGAGCCAGAAGATCCCAAGATACGTGACCCCATGTTAGTCCTACCACTTGCAGCTGGGGCAGGTTATTCATTTGGCAGCTTTGCCGACAGACTTCTAGACAGTGAGGCAGTTCTGAGCTGTCTGATAGTATTACTTCTGCACCACATTTTGCAGCCAAAATTCCTGGAAGGCTCACTCCAGCTCCAATCTATTAAGTTATAAAAGATGGCATTTCACACACTTGGAATTGCAAAGAAATGGGAATCTTAGTAGTTTTTCATTACATCCTTTTTCTAGCTCAGTCGCCCAGGCTGGAATGCAGTGGTTCCATCTCGGCTCACTGCAACCTCCGCCTTGTGGGTTCAAGCCATCGTGCTGCCTCAGCCTCCCAAGCAGCTGGGACTACAGGTGTGTGCCACCATGCCCAACTAGTTTGTATTTTTAGTAGAGATGTTTTACCATATTGGCTAGGCTGGTCTTGAACTCCTGACCTCAAGTGGTCTGCCCACTTCAGTCTCCCAGAGTGGTGGGATTACAGGCATGAGCCACAGCACTTGGGCGTGATTTTCACTTGTTAGCTCTTATGTAGCTAAAACCTAGCAGGTTTGCAACATGGCTTTCTAGTAAAGATTCTCCAGTTGGGCTTTGAAAGTGGCAAGATGCTTTGTGGACACTAAGAAATAATACTAAGGAATGCCTTCCTAGTAGTAACAAAAACAAGCTTCCCATTTTTCCAGTTAAAGGATGGGCATAGAGATTATTCTGGGTGCCTAACAGTTACTACTAAGGCCAGAAGTGTGTGCCAAATCCTACCCTTCATTTATGTGGTATAGTAAAAAAAGGGAGGTTAATATTAAGCTTCTGGTTTGTCTACTTAGGTGTAGAAGTCTATGTGATAAAATTGATTTTTTTCAAGCCTTCAGCAGTCTAAAGCCAGGTAGCGAGGTAAGGAGGAGAATGGGATACATTTTTTTTTCTTTTTTTTTTTTTTTTGAGACGGAGTTTCACTCATGTTACCCAGGCTGGAGTGCAATGGCGCCATCTCGGCTCACCGCAACCTCCGCCTCCTGGGTTCAGGCAATTCTCCTGCCTCAGCCTCCTGAGTAGCTGGGATTACAGGCACGCACCACCATGCCCAGCTAATTTTTTGTATTTTTAGTAGAGACGGGGTTTCACCATGTTGACCAGGATGGTCTCGATCTCTTGACCTCGTGATCCACCCGCCTTCGGCGTCCCAAAGTGCTGGGATTACAGGCTTGAGCCACCGTGCCCGGCCCGAGATACATTTTTATACTAATCTCAACATTTCCAAAAATGGAAAGGGCTATGGTCTGAATGTTTGTATCCACCCAAAATTCACATGTTCAAATCCTAATACCCATATCAGGTGGACCATTGGGAAGTAATTAGATAAGAGCAGAGTTCTCATGATTAGTGCCATTACAAAAGACCCCGGAGAGCTGCCTTGCTTCTTCAGTTGAGAACATAGATGGCACTGTCTGAACCAGAATTTTTGCTCTCACCAGACACTGAATCTCTAAGGACTTTGATCCTGGACTGCCTCCAGAACTGAGACACAAGTTTCTTTTTTTATTTTTAATTTTTTCCAGGCTGGAGTGCAGTGGCCTGATCTCAGCTCACTGCAACCTCCGCCTCCCAGGTTCAAGCAATTCTGCCTCAGCCTCCTGAATAGCTGGGACTACAGGTACGCACCACCATGCCTGGCTAATTTTTGTATTTTTAGTAGAGACAGGGTTTCACCATGTTGGCCAGCATGGTCTCGGTCTCTTGACCTCAAGTGACTCCTGCCTCAGCCTCTCAAAGTGCTGGGATTACAGGCGTGAGCCACCACCCCAACCTATTTTTTTTTTTTTTTTATTTTTGAGATGGAGTCTTGCTCTCTCACCCAGCCTGGTGTGCAGTGGTGCGATCTTGGCGCACTCCAACCTCCACCTCCCGGGTTCAAGCAATTCTTCCTCAGCCTCCTGAGTAGCTGGGACTACAAATGTGTGCCACAAGGCCTGGCTAACTTTACAGCAGAGACAAGATTTTACCATGTTGGCCAGGCTGGTCTTGAACTGCTGACAGGTGATCCACCCACCTTGGCTTCCCAAGCTGTGAGCCACTACGCCCAGCCAGAGACACAAATTTCTGTTATTTATAAGCCACCCATTATATGGTATTTTGTTACATCATCCTGCATGTTAAAAGCACTGCAGTTATTGGCTGGGCGTGGTGGCTCATGCTTGTAATCCCAGCAGTTTGGGAGGCTGAGGTGGGTAGATCACAAGGTCAGGAGATCAAGACCATCCTGGCCAACATGGTGAAACCCTATCTCTACTAAAAATACAAAAATTGGCTGGGCATGGTAGTGCATGCCTGTAATCCCAGCTACTCAGGAGGCTGAGGCAAGAGAATCGCTTGAATCAGGGAGTTGGAGGTTACAGAGTGAGCCGAGATCATGCCACTGCACTCCAGCCTGGTGACAGAGCGAGACTCTTTTAAAAAAAAAAAAAAAAAAAAAAAAAACACTGCAGTTGTAAAGCCTGCATGACACTGCTGGGACACTAAAGACTGCCATGGCCATGGAAGGCAGTTCAGGGGCTTCATCTAGAATAGCGGTCAGCAAACTGTAAAGTAAATATTTTAGGCTTTGTGGTCTACCTACTGTCTCTGTCACACATTTTTTTCTTAGAGACAGGGTCTCACTATGTTGCCCAGGCTGGTATCAAACTACTGGGCTCAAGCGATCTTCCCATCACAACCTTCCAGAGTACTAGGATTACCGGTGTGAGTCATCACACCCAGCACGTTTTTTTTTTTTTTGAGACGGAGTTTCGCTCTTGTTACCCAGGCTGGAGTGCAATGGCGCGATCTCGGCTCACGGCAACCTCCACCTCCTGGGTTCAGGCAATTCTCCTGCCTCAGCCTCCTGAGTAGCTGGGATTACAGGCACGCGCCACCATGCCCAGCTAATTTTTTGTAGTTTTTAGTAGAGACGGGGTTTCACCATGTTGACCAGGATGGTCTCGATCTCTTGACCTCGTGATCCACCCGCCTCGGCCTCCCAAAGTGCTGGGATTACAGGCGTGAGCCACCGCGCCCGGCCACACCCAGCATGCTTTTTAAAAACAATCTTTTACTTCATTAAAAAAAACACTTTTTAAATTAAAAAAAGTTCCAAGATAATCTCTACCTTAAAAACAAAACATTCTTAGCTCACAGACCTTACAAACTAGCTAAATTAACCCTGATTTTAAAATATGTAACAAAAGCTAATAACAAGCATATATACATGTAAACTTAACATATTTGAACATAACCCAGAATTCTGGAAACCACAGGGACTTGTACCTCTAAGATGGCCTTGCCTGGCAGAGATCTTCTGTGAAACCAAAGGTACTGGGCCAGGACCACAGCACAGGGCCAAACATACATTCCATACTGGAGATGCAGGATCTGAAAAGAATTTTTTTTGTGTGTCATAAATAATTTATCTGCTGGAAGTTGGAATCATTTCTACAGCAATTTCTGTCAGGCATTAGCATCCATTACAAAAATAGCAGCCGTGCTCACCAGTCCCCGACCTTTGGGGAGGTAAAACCACAATGCAATGTGATAAGCACTCTTGATGGCACTCTTCATTCAACGAGCACTTCTAGCGTCTGAGTATGAGGGACCATTCTTAGACTGGGGATGTAGCTCTCCCTGATCACATATTATACTGTAGACACAGGCAACGAGTAAGCAAACAGGATCTTTATAGTCAAGGACAACGCTACAAAGCTAAACAGGGTGACGTAAGAGCATTAACAGGCGGCCGGGCGCGGTGGCTCAAGCCTGTAATCCCAGCACTTTGGGAGGCCGAGGCGGGTGGATCACGAGGTCAAGAGATCGAGACCATCCTGGTCAACATGGTGAAACCCCGTCTCTACTAAAAATACAAAAAATCAGCTGGGCATGGTGGTGCATGCCTGTAGTCCCAGCTACTCAGGAGGCTGAGGCAGGAGAATTGCCTGAACCCAGGAGGCGGAGGTTGCGGTGAGCCGAGATCGCGCCATTGCACTCCAGCCTGGGTAACATGAGCGAAACTCCGTCTCAAAAAAAAAAAAAAAAAAAAAAAAAAAGAGCATTAACAGGCAATGGGGGGTGAGCACAGGTGGCTGCTCTTGATTCAGGCAAAGGTCCTGAATGAATAAATGAAAGGCCTCAGTGGCTAATCAAACTGGGGAGTGGGGAAGGGGGTAGACAGGAATGGAAGCTGGAGGCATGGTTGTGCAGTGCATGCAAGTGGAGGTCAGAAGTAAGACCGGGACCAGACCCTTGGGGTCCTGTCAGCCCCAGAAGTTTAGATTGTATTCTAAGTGCAACGTGAAGATACTGGAGGGGTTTAGGCACAAACATAACTTGGTGTGTTAACAGGAAGTAGTGCGGTCCTAGGAAGACACCCTAGAAGTATGAGTCCAGCTGAATCCTGAGTTAGGCAGGCAGGCAGCACACAAGCCTTTGGAAAGGACTAGAATCATAAGAGCATGGTATTCAGCGAGAAAATCAGCTGGCCTGGGTCCAATCTCTAGATTTGTAATTTATTAGCTATGTGACCTCAAGACAAGTTACTTAGCATGTCAGTGCTTCCATTTCCTCAGCTGCAAAATACTGTCTTAATAGGGTTTTCAGGAAAATTCAACGAAAACTTAGGATAGTGCCAGACACAAAGCAAGCACTCAAAGGTAGCAATTAAACTGCAAAACACGTCTTTCTGTCCTCTGGAGCAAAGGGTGTCCTGGTGGGGTGTTAGAAAAAGAAGCTGAAGAGGTGAAAGTATCAAAGGTGAAGGAACTGAGATCCAAACGTAATCATTCAATTCATTAAAAACATACATGGCTAACATATGCTAGGCACTGTTCTAAGTGTAGGGGTACAGGATGAGCAGGTAAAATTGCCTTGACCAGAGGACAGAGTTGTGCAGATTTGGGTGTAAAGAAAAGAGGCTTCTAGGCTGGGTGCGGTGGCTCACACCTGTAATCCCAGCACTTCGGGAGGCCGAGGCGGGCGGATCACCTGAGGTCAGGAGTTCGAGACCAGCCTGGCCAACAAGGGGAAATCCTGTCTCTACTAAAAATACAAAATATTAGCCAGCGACTCAGGAGGCGGAGGCGGAAGTAGCAGTGAGCCGAGATTGTGCCACTGCACTCTAGCCTGGGCTGGAGACTTCGCTTCAAAAAAAAACAAGAGGCTTCTATTCTCCTCTTTGGGGATATAAAAGGCAAATCATCACCCCCAACATTTAGGAAGAAACGCCAGTGTATTTAAACATGAAGCCAAATTGGGTGTGGTCTCAGCTACTCAAAAGGCTGACAGGATCACTTATGCCCCGGAGGATGGGGTTGCAGGGAGCCCACCACTGCACTCCAGCCAGGGCAATAGAGCAAGCCTCTGTGTCAAAAAAATTAAAAAAAAAAAGTGAAGCTATTTGGAGTCTGTATCAGAAATAGCACCCACTCCACTTTTTTTTTTTTTGACATGATCTTGCGTTGCTCATGCCTGAGTGCAGTGGCCGGATCACAGCTCACAGCAGCCTCGACCTCTCCGGCTTAAGCAATCCTCCCACCCCAGCCTCCCCAGTAGCTGGGACTACAGGCACACACCACGATGCCTAATTTTTCTATTTTTTGTCGAGATGCAGTATCACTATGTTGCCCAGGTTGGTCTTGAACTCCTGGGCCCAAGCGATCCTCCAGCCTAGGCCTCCCAAAGTGTTGGGATTACAAGCATGAGTCAAAAAATAAAATACAAAAAAAAAAAAAAATTAAAAACAATTTTTTTAAAAAAATAATAAGCATGAGTAACTGCATGCCTGCTCACTCCCCCCTCCCCCCGTTTTTCTTTTTTGAGAGGAGTATCGTTCTGTCAGTGCGTAGCGCGATCTCGGCTCACTGCAACCTCCGCCTCCCAGGTTCAGGCGATTCTCCTGCTCCAGCCTCCCGAGTATCTGGGACTACAGGCACCCACCGCCACCACCACCGACTAAATTTTTTTTGTATTTTAGTAGAGACGGGCTTTCACCATGTTGGCCAGGATGGTCTCGATCTCCCGACCTCGTGATCCGCTTGCCTCGGCCTCCCAAAGTGCTGGGATTACAGGTGTGAACCACCGCGCCAGCCCACTCCACCCCTTTAACTTCTCTCAAGCTTTTTCTTCAGCATGGGACACGCCTCACAGGCTGCCGTCAAAGTGCTTTGAAAAACCGGAGACAAGGCAGGGCGTGGTGGCTCACTCCTGTAATCCCAGCACTTGGGCAGGCGGGAAGTTCACCTGAACCTGGGAGTTGGAGGTTACAGTGAGCTATGATCGCGACACAGCACTCCAGCATGGGCGCCAGAGCGAAACAAGTGTTTCGAGAAAAAAGTAATAATTATTGAGAGTTTTCGGGCAGCTGTGAGCTTAGAGGAAGAAGCCAGTGCCAACCCAAGAAACTTTATTTGGGGACTAAATAACACTGCCCTGGTCCAAAAACTCACAAAACAGTGTGCGATAAGGATGAAGCAAGAAACCCGTGGACAAGATGAAAAGCATTAGAGGTCAAGGAAGTCATTTTTCTGGCAGGAAAAGATTCGATGTGGAGAAAGCCGGCCCGGCGGCTCACGCCTGTGATCCCAGCATTTTGGAAGGCCGAGGTGGGAGGATCACTTAAGCTTATAGTTCGAGACCAGCCTGACCAACACAGTGACCAGAGTCACTTCACGGTAGGGTCTCCAAAATTCTTACTGAGAGACATTTAATCCACTGAATGGGTTCATATCCGACGTTTTGGCTCTGCGGGCCAACCTAAAGCAGGAAGCTGCGCAGTTGAGCGTCCGCACCCCCGTCCCTCAGGACCCCAGCCAAGTCAGCCGATAACCGCTCCTGTCCTCAGGCGCCTCCCGGCGGGTGCTGCGGCACACACCTGCGGAACGTGGACCTCCAGCACGGCCCCCTCGGATCCCGGGCCCGGCTCCTCCGAGAATCGAAAGCGGACCCTCTGCCCTAGGAAACCGTGGTCGCTCAGGGGGTCGCCGGTGGGCCCCGAGCCGGCGGGAAACTGCGGAAGGCTCTGGGCTGCCAGGCTGCGCGAGAGGGAGGCTCCGGGCCACGTGGCTCTAGCACCTGACCGCAAGAAGCGGAAAGCCCAGCTCCGGAGATAATCAGGCCGTGTTGCGAGCGAAGAAACCGCGGAGTTAACGGAAAGAGACAGACGCGCAAGACCGGCAACGGGCGGACGGCGCAGCCGGAAGTGATGCGCGCTGCGACAGCGCGCAGGAGGGGCGGGGCAGCACGGCAAGGCGGTCAAAGACCTTCCCAACATGGCGGAGGCCCTCCCCGTGTGTGAGGGCGGGCCCCAGAGGCGCCGAAACCAATGGCGGGCCGCGAGAGGCGCGGGGGCGGGGAACACGGCGGCCGCTTGCCCAACCCGAGGCTCGGGAGGTGGCTGGGGAGTGAATTTTCTGGAAGGCGACTTTAAAGGCGCCGGGCCGGAGTGAAGGGCGTTTGAGTGCCTCCGTCTCCGCCACCCGGGCCGGGAGGGGTGCGTTAGTGGCAGGAAGCGGGCTGCGCCGAGGTCGTAGCGGAACCAGCTGGTGACCCCGCAGGATGAACCACAAGAGCAAGAAGCGCATCCGCGAGGCCAAGCGGAGTGCGCGGCCGGAGCTCAAGGACTCGGTGGATTGGACCCGGCACAACTACTACGAGAGCTTCTCGCTGAGCCCGGCGGCCGTGGCGGTGAGCGGGGCGAGCGGGGTGGCCGGGCCGGGCATCAGCACCGCCAGCCGCTGCGCACTTTTCTCGGGGCACAGGGCTGCCCTCGCCCCGAGCGCTGCACCCGGGAGCTCGAAGAGGCTCACCCGCACCCCGCGGAGTTTGGGGTTCCGGAGACCCGGATTCCGGGCTAGGCCTCTTTCCACCCGTGCTGTGGCCGCCCGTCCGCCCCGGCCGACGACGGGAGTCCCACGCCTGTGGCACTCTCAACTGGAAGGCCGGTCATCCCCGACTCCTTTGGGCGGCGGGGCCCCTAGGGGACCTGGCTGTCAAGGCTCGCGGGTGGGAGATACGAAGTCCCCTCCTCTGATGGGGTGGCTCTAGGAACGACGTGGTCTCACGCACGCGCCCTCCCCCGTTCCGGAGGAGCCAGATGAGAGTCAGCTTCCTTCGGTTGCCATTGCTAATTGGCCTTGGGGACACCCTTATCTGCCACTGGACTTCCTTTTTATTTTATTTTTTAACTGGAAAGGTCTTTTCTAATTTCTTCAGGATAACGTGGAAAGAGCAGACGCTTTACAGTTGTCTGTGGAAGAATTTGTGGAGCGGTATGAAAGACCTTACAAGCCCGTGGTTTTGTTGAATGCCCAAGAGGGCTGGTCTGCGCAGGAGAAGTGGACTCTGGAGCGCCTAAAAAGGAAATATCGGAACCAGAAGTTCAAGTGTGGTGAGGATAATGATGGCTACTCAGTGAAGATGAAGATGAAGTACTACATCGAGTACATGGAGAGCACTCGAGACGACAGCCCCCTTTACATCTTTGACAGCAGCTATGGCGAACACCCTAAAAGAAGGAAACTTTTGGAAGACTACAAGGTGCCCAAGTTTTTCACTGATGACCTTTTCCAGTATGCTGGGGAGAAGCGCAGGCCCCCTTACAGGTAAAGTATTCTGCCCCTAAGTGGTTAAAACCTTATCGACAACAGCGTTTGTTCGCTGAGTTCAGTTGGTAATCTTTTTCCAAAACGGTGAGTTCTCCCTTGGCTGCACATTGAACTTACTTAGGGGGCTCCTGAGGTCCTACTGTGGAGACTGATTTAATTGGGGTGCTTGCCTGGGCATCAGAATTTCTGAAAGCTCCCCAGGTGACTTGAATGTGCAACTAAAGTTGAATCACTGATCTCTAAGGGAAGTTTTAATAAAGTCTTATAAAGTCCAGCAATAAACCACATCAGTGTTTTTTCTTTTTTTTTTTTTTTTTTTTTTGTTTTTTGTTTTTTGTTTTTGAGATGGAGTTTCCTTCTGTTGCCCAGGCTGGAGTATAGAAGCAAGGAGTATCTTGGCTCACTGCAGCCTCTGCCTCCTGGGTTCAAGCAATCCTCCTGCCCCAGCCTCCTTAGTAGCTGGGATTACAGGTGCCCACCACTATGCCCAGATAATTTTTGTATTTTTAGTAGACACGGGGTTTCACCATATTGGTCAGGCTAGTCTCGAATTCTTGACCTCAGGCAATCCACCCGCCTCAGCCTCCCAAAATGCTGGTATTACGGGCGTGAACCACTGTCCGTGGCTGATTTTTCTTCTTTTGTTAAGAATCAGTCCATAAACAATGCACTCAGTGTTTCTGTGTACCAGCATTTATATAATCTCTGAAATAAAGATGATGTATCACGTAAAACTAAAACCTGGCCAGGTGTTGTGACTCAAACCTGTAATTCCAGCACTTTGGGTGGCTGAGGCAGGTGATCACTTCAGGCCAGGAGTTCAAGATCAGCCTGGCCAACGTGGTGAAACACCACCTCTACTAAAAATACAAAAATTAGCCAAGAGTGGTGGCAGGCACCTGTAATCCCATCTACTCAGGAGGCTGAGGCAGGAGAATTGTGTGAACCTGGGGAAGCGGAGGTTGCCATCAGCCAAGATCAAGCCACTGCATTCTAGCCTGGGCAATAGAGCAAGACTCTTAAAAAAAAAACAAAAAAACAAACAAAAAAAAAAAACGGAAAACTGAACTAAAAATTTACTGGTTTTTTTTTTTTCTTTTTTTTTTTTTTTTTTTTGAGAATGGAGTTTTGTTCTTGTTGCCCGGGTTGGAGTGCAATTGTGCAATCTTGGCTCACCACAACCTCCGCCTCCCAGGTTCAAGTGATTCTCCTGCTTCAGCCTCCTGAGTAGGTGCAATTACAGGCATGTGCCACCACGCCCAGCTAATTTTGTATTTTCAGTAGAGACCAGGTTTCTCCATGTTGGTCAGGCTGGTCTCAAACTCCCAACCTCAGGTGATCTTCCTGCCTCCAGCCTCCCAGAGTGCTGGGATTACAGGCATGACCCACCACGCCTGGCCAAACTTACTGTTTCGTATGGTATGTGTGTAACTAAATGACACTTTACGTCTTGGATATCTTCATTCTGTAGGTGGTTTGTGATGGGGCCACCACGCTCTGGGACTGGGATCCACATCGACCCCCTGGGAACCAGTGCCTGGAATGCCTTAGTTCAGGGCCACAAGCGCTGGTGCCTGTTTCCTACTAGCACTCCCAGGGAACTCATCAAGGTGACCCGAGAAGAAGGAGGGAACCAGCAAGATGAAGCTATTACCTGGTTTAATGTTATTTATCCCCGGACACAGCTTCCAACCTGGCCACCTGAATTCAAACCCCTGGAAATCTTACAAAAACCAGGAGAGACTGTCTTTGTGCCAGGTATAAATGAACTGGAAGAAAGTACATTCTTTTGATTTCAATGTTTTGTCATTTTGGAGCAGAACTGTTAGAAAGTGAGTCCTAAAAAATCTTGTGCATGCTGCCTGGTAAATGAACTGGTACCCACCTCTCACAGTAACACGTAGCTATGGTCTGAAGTATTTTGGGAGCTCTTGTTCACATTTCATACAGCTATAAAACTCTTGATAAACTGTATGTAGACCGGGCGCGGTGGCTCACGCCTGTAATCAGCACTTTGGGAGGCCTAGTTGAGTGGATCACTTGAGGTCAGGAGTTCAAGACCAGCCTGGCCAACATGGTGAAACCCTGTCTCTACTAATAATACAAAAAATAGCCAGGTGTGATGGCAGGCGCCTGTAATCCCAGCTACTCGGGAGGCTGAGGTGGGAGAATCACCTGAACCTGGGAGGCGGAGGTTGCAGTGAGCTGAGATCATGCCACTGCACTCCAGCCTGGGTGACAAAGCAGAACTCCATCTCAAAAACAAAAAAACCACCATATGTAAAGATGCAACTTTTCTTTATTGTAGTAGTTACTTACTGTCTTTGCATATGTGTACCAGCTTGTTTATGTTTATATAAATAGGGGTTTAATCTTTTTTTTTTTTTGAGACAGAGTCTCGCTCTGTCATCAGGCTGGAGTGCAGTGGGCGATCTCAGCTGACTGCAACCTCCAGCTCCTGAGTTCACAAAATTCTTGGCTCACCACAACGTCCGCCTCCTGTGTTCAAGTGATTTTCCTGCCTCAGCCTCTCAAGTAGCTGGGACTGCAGGCACACGCCACCATGCCCGGCTAATTTTTGTATTTTTAGTAGAGACGGGGTTTCACCATATTGGCCAGGATGGTCTCCATCTCTGGACCTCGTGATCTGCCCACCTCGGCCTCCAACAGTGCTGGGATTACAGGCTTGAGCCACCGCGCCCGGCCATTTTTTTTGTTTTTTTTTTTTAGACGAGTCTCACTCTGTCACCCAGGCTGGAGTGCAATGGGTGATCTCAGCTGACTGCAACCTCCAGCTCCTGAGTTCACAAAATTCTTCTGTCTCAAACTCTCCAATAGCTGGGATGACAGGCACACAACACCACGCCCGGCTAATTTTTGTATTTTAGTAGAGATTGGGGTTTCACTGTGTTGCCCAGGCTGGTCTCAAACTCCTGACCTCAGGCAGTCCACCCGCCTCAGCCTCCCAAAGTGCTAGGATTACAGGCGTGAGCCACCCAATATTACTGTCAGCTTCCTGCGCCTGGTCAGGGTTCAATTCTGTAAATTGAGTTGGAGATCTCACTGTGTTGCTCAGGGTGGCCTCCTGGGTTCAAGCAAGCCTCCCGCCTCAGCCTCCCAAAGTGCTAGGATTATAGGTGTAAGCCACCAAGCCCAGCCTAAATTGGGTTTTTGATGCAGTATGGCACTGTCTGGGTTGAGTCAGGAAATCCCACACCAGACAACTGCACATTGGTAAGTGAATGGAAGGGAGTATTTAAAGTGGGTGTCCTCTTCCTAGACGCTGAAGAACTTTATGCGTTTCCACTTTTGATCACAGCTTTGGATTAACAGGAGTAAACAGACTTTT